CCCCCCCCCTTATCTACATTTTACCAGGAGCTGTCTAGAAGGAGCATTTTTCAGGAGCGCTTGCGGCTCAAATGTAGTTTTCCTTCACTTATTCACATCTATTATCCGCAGAGCTATCAGTTCCTATCTCGCCGAGGGCCCCTACTTAATTAAGCCCTTGGATGCAGAAACTGACTCTTAATTCCCTCCCTTCTCTTTGTTCAGCACCGCAGCACCATCAGTTCAGCCCACCGATTTTGTAGGGGGTGAAACCTAGATTGGCCTGGATTTGGGGTTCAATTCACGGACCGTGCTACGGTGCGCCACGAACCATGAATCACCACTGTATCACTACCATCTAACCACATATATTCAAAAAGAAAAAATATTCGCTAGAAAATCGAATATGGTCGTATTGTCGTCAGTACCCGTCCATTCTAGAACTTATAGGTAGAATACAAGCAATGAAAACTGGAAAAAAGGATCCTGTTTGACCAAGAGATTGGTTTTCAATCTCTCACTTCTTCTTTGATTTGTTGAGATTATCGATAATTAGTAATTTTCCCTCTGATTGATTATTCCGCTTCCGAACTTGTAATAACCAATGAGAAATGATGAATATAAGATATCGACTTGACTTTTTTTTGAAAAGAGTTGTGGTGCAAAATCATAGCTTACAATCATTCCAAACCCATTTAAATTCGCGATTTCAAGAAAGAATTTGTGGTTTCTTTTTCTGCCAAATATCACCTTGCAGTCCATTGGAACAGATCGGCGGAGCCGTTTACATAGTACATACAATTCCTCAAATCCGATTTGGGTGGCATCATTCTCGAAGGGTAAACGCTGCTGTTGTAATTACAGCTACTCTGAAAAAAATGGTACCGAAGTTTTGAGGTCTGGAATGAAGAGTGCGGTGAACAGAAATTATGTATGTCCATAAGCGCACCCCGAAATTCTCCTGTTGAGGGGAATCGGGCTAGATGAGCTTCATTGAGCACCAGTCCCATGGAATCAATCGGAATTTCATTTTCATCGCAGTCCAGTCGGTCTCCACCGAGCAAATATATGAGGCTTCACTAAAATAGACTTTATCGTGCGTGTGGGGCAAGTTCAGAAAGATTTGGAATCTTCGCCGCAAAAGTCTCCTGCATCAAATAGGGTTTCGCTAGGGTAGAGAGAAAAAGACGTAGTCGTAGGAAAAGGAAGTTCCCGAGGAGGGGGTGGGGGGCAATATCATCGGCCCCTTTTCCCTACCATCCTATTGTTGACTGATTCCCTCTGCGACTCTAGAATAATAACATATGAAATAATCAATAAGGGTGGACAAGTGGTGCCACTCTGTCGACCCCCATTCGGAACAATTGGGTCATTGGGATGTCGTTGGGCGAACGCTGCTTTACTACAACCCTATATGCGGCTAACACAATTGAATCCATATGTAGTGTCACTGGCGTCCTCTATGCTGTTCGTACTAAGCGAAAAAGATTCAGTCAATCCCATAGCGTCAAATTCTCTATGATTGCTGAATATGGCATAGCTCGAAGGTTGAGTTGGCTGATAGGTTTGGTACCTAGCCCCATTTCACTGATGTTTCCCCCGCAGTTGTTAAAGTCTCATGATAATTTTGGTTATTTGCCTTCACCCGGAACCACCTCAGGAATCCATAAATAGTTTAGCGTCACGAGATACTGATTTAGTAATGCCCTTGCACTCAGAAAAAGGGTTGAACCTCTGAATGAGTAAGGATATCACACTGAATTTTTCATGGGAAAGAGCAGAAGTCTGCATTAAGGACACTTATTCATGTCCTAGTTAAATATCCTCTCCGTAAACCTCATAAATGACGTTCTGATGGAGTTTGGAGTGTAACTTATTCGGGGTACTCCTAATGGGCAAACATGCCGGGAGTTGCTATGACGACAATGTGTAAATTGGTTCCTTTTTCAGCAAAATGCAGGCCGCCTTTGTTGAAGGGACGAATTTGGTGATGGTATGGATCATCCAAGATAAGACGTCAGATAACTGCTACGACGACACACAATGTCCGAAAGTCGAACCATCAGAGGTACTACATTCGAGGTTTTCAGTATAAAAATAGTGACCATACAAAGATTTCTGGACTAGAAGCGGTGAAACACATGTTTGGTTCCCGTCTTTTCACCTCTTTTTATGACTACTGCTTTAATTGATAACTCTTAAAATCAGCTACGGCGTTCCAGGTCCCTTTTGGATTTGAACGGGTACCACCGCTGGATCCATCAGAGAAGTGCACTGGTGTTCCTCATCGAAAACCGGCTCGATCAAAATCGATGTGCTACAACACAGTGAACGAAGTGAGTTATACCACTTAGATACTTTTTCTTCAATTTCGAAGAGTTATGGAGCCGTGGAGGGCGAATACCTGGTCGATACCCGCAGGTCAATCAAGCCTTCCATCCATACGGGTCGGTTGCCTGGTGTTAAACTCGTCTGAAAGGATGAAAGCACTAACTTGTACATCAGCTGACCACCCGGCTGACCACCGCCGCAAGTCATTATTTATGTAGGCTACATATTACCCCACTCAATGCCCCTTTACGATCTCAGGATCATGGAAATCGAATGCGTGGGCGCATTCCTCTGGCGGGATTAATTAACCTTCCAAGAATTTGTCCCTTAACCTTTTAGAGTTGTGAAAATGAAAATCAGATCAGATTGGGTACGAGAATAGTGCAAAGGTATGTATGATGGAAGCCCTCTCTTTACGACTGGCAGATT